ACGAAGAGGCACTGCAGGAACTACACATGAATAAAGGGCACGCTGGTTCCAAGCCCTGCGCGTTATGTCGCAACGTCCTGAATAGAAAGTTTGAGTACCTTCCTTATGATGCATCTGGTATCGTTGCGACAGACGCGCGTTTGGATGCGTCCAAGATCCGCAGAAACGACGACGCGACAACCATCGCGATCCTGGAACAAATTCGGCCCGATTGGGATACATTTCAGCGGGGGGGGGGGGCTCGGAGGGGCAGTACGCGACCATCAAACAGCACAAAGGATGGAACTTCCACCCCGAACACATAGCGCTGGACCCAGGTTTGCGATATCTCCCCGCGTCATCCATTTGCTTTGATTTTATGCATATGTATTTCGTGGCTGGTATATTCGACAGAGACGTAAGAGCACTTTCAGGGCATGCGCAGTTCAAGCATTTGTGCGATGCAAGCGATTTGCACGATTATTTCACGAAGTGGACGCGGCCGAGCAAACACCACTCAGCCGCAACTGTATGGGAGACTGGTGAGCTCCAAGCAGGTGCCTCAGAGGAGCTCTCAACGTTGCCTGTTTTGTGTAGGTAGATTCGGCAAACGATTGCCAAGCATCCTTCATCGGATCTAGTGGCCCCCCAGATCGCAAGCATGCTGGCATTGCAAGATGCCGTTGACTTGATCATCACGGCGGCGCGGCGGCTTCCAGTCATAACCGCGCAGATAGAGTCAACGATAGTGAAACATCTTCGGTGCCATCAGGACGCACATGGTGAAAGCTATTGGGTGTATAAGCACCATATGGCAACACATTTGCCAGAAATGATTTTTTTTATTTATTTATATAGATATATACATGTATATATATGTATTCCCCCCCCCCCAAAAAAAAAAAAACATGGGTCACTCAGTTGCTTTGTCCAGGAACGCAAGCACAAATTCGCAAAACGTTTCGCCGAAGATCACATGAGCAAGAACGGGCCAGAGAAGGCTCTCATGGCCCAACTCACTGCACTGCACGCGCACGATTTAAAGACCATGCGTGTTTCAACTGGCTAAGTCGACCCAACGAACGCCATGCAGAAGTTGCGGAATGCGTTGAAACGCATGTGCCCTGGGACGCAGACAGCCGTCTCCAGCATCGAATTCAACACAGATTACGGCCGCATCAGGCGCGGTGATATCGTACTTCTGGTGTCGGGCGGAATGCATCCAGCAGTGCAAGTGTGGTTCCACGTGAAATGCGACGATGGCGAGTCGCAGGTGCTGGTCCAGCAGCTTGCAAGTAAGCATGTGAATGCCGCTGATGGTTTTTCCAGACACATCTTCTTAGATGATACAGACCCTGTTTTGATGCCTCTGACCTTGCTGAGAGCTCCTGGCATTGACAGGAACATAGAGAAAGACATCACGTGTATTTGGCCAGTGGAATACAAATCGCGGTGTTGCTAGCATGATGCACTGCGAACCGTCGTTTGCCCCGGGACGAAAAACAAATGTTGCTGGCCGTCTGAGCAGATTCAGATCGACGAAGCGCCCAATCATGATGCCCCAATTTCAAACTACATGCGTTGCAAAAACACAACATAAACATAGAAAAAAACTTCAAAATGGCCAAATCTAACCAGTTATAACTCAGTTAGCAACAGTGATACGTTCCGCTAACTGTTACTAACTACCCAGGGCCTTCAGGCGGTGACCCGGTGACCCGGTGACCCGGCGGGGTGGGTCAGTTGACCCGGCGACCCGGTGACCCGGTGACCCGGCGGGGTGGGTCAGTTGATCCGGTGACCCGGTGACCCGGTGGGGTGGGTCAGCTGACCCGGTGACCCGGTGACCCGGTGGGGTGGGTCAGCTGACCCGGTGACCCGGTGGGGTGGGCCAGCTGACCCGGTGACCCATATCGTAAGATGGGTTTTCGTCATTATTTTGAACCCTCCGAGAAGGAACCCACCCCCAGACCACACTCTGATGATGATGCTGATGATGCGGATGATCGCGATGGGAATGATGATGATGATGCGGATGATGAAAATGATGATGATGGTGATGACGGTGATAATGATGATGACGACGACGTGGATGATGATGATGATGACGCTGATGATGATGATGATGATGATAATAATGACGTGGATAGAATCATGATGATGGTGTGGATGATGACGATGATGGTGACGATGCGGATGATGACGATGATGATGTCGATGACGCCCGGTGATTCAGCTGTGTGGGTTAGTTGACCTGGTTGTCTGGTGACTGGGCGGGCTGGGTCAGTTGACCCGGTGATGACCCGCTGACCCGGTGACCCGGTGACCTGGTGACTCGGCGACCCGACCCGTGACCCGGTGGCTCGGCGACCGTGTGATCCGGTGACCCGGTGACCCTGGTGACCTGGTGACCTGGTGGCTCCGTGACCCCGGGGGTCATGAATTGACCCGGTGAGGTGTCCTGGTGGGGCTGGTCAGTTGACTCAGTGACCCGGCGACCCGGTGACCCTGCGGGGTGGGTCACTTGACCCGGTGACCCGGTGACCCGGTGGGGTGGGTCAGCTGACCCGGTGACCCGGTGACCCGGTGGGGTGCACGGGTCAGTTGACCCGGTGACCCGGTGACCCGGTGGGGTGGGTCAGCTGACCCGGTGACCCGGTGACCCGGTGGGATGGGTCAGCTGACCTGGTGACCCGGTGACCCCGTGGGGTGGGTCAGCTGACCCGGCGACCTGGTGACCCGGTGACCCGGTGGGGTGGGTCAGTTGACCCTGTGACCCAACGACCTGGTGACCCGGTGGGGTGGGTCAGCTGACCCAGTGACCCGGTGACCCGGTGACCCGGTGGGGTGGGTCCGCTGACCTGGTGACCCGGTGACCCGGCGGGGTGGGTCAGTTGACCCGGTGACCCGGTGACCTGGTCGGGTGGGTCAGCTGTCCCGGTGACCCGGTGACCCCGTGGGGTGGGTCAGCTGACCCGGTGACCGACCTGGTGAGGTGGGTCAGCTGACCCGGTGACCCGGTGACCCGGCGGGGTGGGTCAGCTGACCCGATGACCCGGTGTCCCGGTGGGGTGGGTCAGCTGACCCGGTGACCCGGTGACCCGGCGGGGTGGGTCAGCTGACCCGATGACCCGGTGACCTGGTGACCGGTAGGGTGGGTCAGCTGACCTGGTGACCTGGTGACCCGGTGGGGTGGGTCAGCTGACCTGGTGACCCAGTGACCCAGTGACCCGGTGGGGTGGGTCAGCTGACCCGGTGACCCGGTGACCTGGTGGGGTGGGTCAGTTGACCCGGTGACCCGGTGACCCGGTGGGTCAGCTGATCCGGTGACCCGGTGGCCCGGCGGGGTGGGTCAGCTGACCCGGTGACCCGGTGACCTGGTGACCTGGTGACCCGGTGCCATGGGGTGGGTCAGCTGTCCTGGTGACCCGGTGACCCGGTTAATTACCCGGTTGGGTCAGTTGACCCGGCGACCCGGTGACCCGGTGACGCGGTGGGGTGGTTCAATTGACCCGCGGTGACCCGGTGACCTGGTGGGGTGGGTCAGCTGACCAGGTGACCTGGTGGGGTGTGACGCCATTTGAAATAAATAAATATATATATATATATATATATATATATATAAGAAATGAGAAAACAAAAAGAAACAAAAAACTCTGGTCCAGAGGTTTCCTGGCGTCCCCCCCCCACTCCATTCAGAGCGACTCCCCCCCTGGCTCCCGAGCACTGAATGGCGTCGGGAATGGCGTCCCCCCCCCTTGCAGAGCGGAGCTTGATCGAGCTCAAGTCCACGCTCTCAGAAACTCACACGCCGGATCGGCGGATATGGCCGCCTCCGGCGCCGAGTCGTTTGCACGGTCCCCCTGCCGCCGCTGCCTCTGTCTTTCGCACGCATGTTGTAGTATGCTCCAGCCCTCCGTGGTCTCTGTTTCGCCGTTTTCCGCGCCGCCACTTTTCATCGACACTCCCGTCACCCCGCTCCGCCAGCTTCAACGCTTCGCACCTTTTCACCTCCACGCTCACAGCTACACCACCACCTGCCACGACACCAGCCAGCCTACACAGCCTCCCCTTATCCTCCCCTTTTATGAACTTTTGTCGCAGGCCTCCGCCGTCGCCGTTTCGTGGTCCTCTCGTCCCCTCAGTGCACCCTCTTTTCCGCAACGCCGTCGCTACACCCGCGGGACTGGGTGGGAGAGCGGGCAAACGGGGGGGTCCAAGGCAGCAGGTCACCGTCGCCGCCGACCGTCCTGGGCTGCGCACCGGCCTTACAGCCCGCCCTACCTCCCCTCCTCTTTACTATGAGCTTCAGTCGCGGGGCCGTCCGCCGTTTCGCCGTTCCCCTCTCCCTCCTTGACCGCTGCGTCTGCTTTAGTGCCCCATTCGCCTCGGAAGCGCCCCTCCGTCGCTCGAACGCTGCTTGGGTGGAGCGGCCGAGGACCAGAAACGAATCCCTCCGTGGCGCTGCTCCTACGTCTGTGATGTAATCGGAGCCTCTTTCCGGCCCCACAGCGGCGCAGGCCGCTGGCAGAGGGCATGACCATCGGATCCAATGTCATCGGCACCGAGCTTCGAGGAGGAGGAGGAGGAGGAGGAGGAGGAGGAGGAGGAGATGGAGCGAAGTGAAGAGGAGGAGGCGGCGGAGGAGGAGGAGGAGAAAGAGGAGGAGGAGGAGGAGGAGGAAGAGGAGGAGGCAGAGGAAGAAGGAGGAGGAGGAATAAGGGGAGGAAAAGGAAGAGGAGGAGGAGGAAGAGGAGGGGGAGGAGGAGGAAGAGGAAGGGGAGGAGGAAGAGCAGGAGAAGGAGGAAGAGAAGGAAGAAGTGAGGAGGAAAAGGAGGATTCAATGTCATCAGCACCGCGTTTCGATAAGGAGGAGGAGGAGGAGGAGGAGGAGGAGGAGTGAGACAGGGGGGGCGGCGGAGCAAGTGAGCCCGAGCCCCTGCCCCTCTTTCGGCACCACCCGTGCCAGATCCCGCCCGTTGGCCCGTTCGCCCCGCCGCGTGCCGCGCCGCGCCGCGCAGGAGAAGCGGGAGTCCACCTGGCTGCCAAGGGCATAAAAAGAAACCCGCTGTGCGCTGAAACTCCTGTGGGCTGACAGGGTAAACCCTGCGTGATGTGCCGCGTCCTGGCGGCTCTAGGCTTTGGGGGGTCCCAGGATATTTACAGACCACGCACTTGTAACCCAGGGTGGGGTCGTTTTTTTCATCCCTCAAGGCTGGTCAGCAACGCCGTGATGGCCAGCGCCAGGCGCGCGCCACCGCCGCCCTCGCCAGGGTGCCGAGTATTCTCTGGGGGAGGGGAGGGGGGGGAGATCCAGCACACTCCGCCACCCGCTCCCCCCCCCCCCACCCCCCATCCTGCTTCCCGCCGCTCCCCTTCCTGCCCCATCCCTTCTTCTCTCCCCTCACCCCTGCCCTGGAATTCTGCTCCCTGACACTTCGTTCCCCCCCAGGTGCAAGGCAGTGTTCAGTCGGTCCAGACCGCGGCACGCACGTGGGCTTCCCGAGCGTCACTCGGGGGTCGGGGTGGGGGGGGCCGGGGGAACAAAACAAGAAACGAACAGAAGCCGTCCACCCCTTCCCAAGGGCAGGTGCTACAGGCCTCGCCGTGCGGCGTCCAGAAATTGCAGCAGCAGTGCAGAGCATTTGGGTATTTCTGCGGATGGCAGAGGCGTTGCGATGGCTCCGTTCTCGGTCGGAGGACGAGGAGGCATGCCAGAGCGGAGGAGAAGGAGGAGGCAAACACAAAGTAGCACGCATACTTGGAAACCAGAAGACGAGGGGAAGGAGGAGGACGACGATGACGATGAAGCAGATGGGGAGTGAGGGGCAGGAGGATCAAAGCTCCTGCCCAGCGGCCCCGAGGAGGTGGAGGAGGAGGAGGAGAAAGAGGGAGGAGGAGGAGGATGAGGAGGAGGAGGAGGAAGAGGAAGACGGGGAGGAGCTTCTATGACGAGGGGGGGGGGGGCAGGAGTAGCACCAGTCCTCCTTGCCCTCCCCCCTTCTCCCTGCGCCCGCTCCGCCCCCCGCGGGGGCGGCAAGCGGCGCGGCACGGCCATGCTGCGGCCCCTGGACAGCGGGCCTCGCCCCGCGCGAGCGGGCAGGGGGAGAAAGGAAGGAGCGGGGAGTGAAGGGAGGAGGAGGAGGAGGAGGAGGGGGGAAGGAGTGGGGAGGGGAGGGGAGGGCCGTAGCCATTTTGGCTCAAGGGGCCTGCTCCTGAACTTCCAAACCTCGCTCGAGCATTGCACAACAGGTGTGCGTGTGTGAGCCCGATTCGTGAACCCTGCAGATTTTGGGCCGTATGTCCAGTAATGGCGGCGGCTATCCTGTGGGGTGTACTTGTGTGTCTTGTGGGAATAAGCGGAATCCCGAACACTACAAATGGTGTTACCATTGCGGATCTGAACTTCCTCGCCTTCGCCCACTCCGTGCACCCCCCCTTCGTGGTGTCTGGGATCGTGGAGTGGGAGGTGGCCACCCTGGAGGCAAAGGAGGAGGAAAAGACGTATACAAAGGTAAAGGAAAAGGGAAAGGAGGCAAAGGAGGACTGGCGGGTCGTGGAGTCAGTGGGGGAGGAGATGATGCTCGTCGTCGTCAGCCTGCCAACCCCCATGACGAGCTACACCGTGTGTACCAAATGTCCCGTAGCAAAGCGTCTCCGTTCCCGCCCAGTGTCGTGCAAGCTCTTGAGACAGCCTGGTCTTCTCATCAGCAAGACAAAAAAGCTCAGGAGCCAGCAAGCAAACAGCTTCAGAAGCACGAACAGGACATCAAAAAACGAGAAGGCCGCCTCAAAAAGCTCCAAGAGGAGCACCAGGACATTCAGGATCGAATTGAGGACCTTCAGGAGAAATGCGATGCCATCGAGGCCCAGATCTATAATGCTGAATTTGATTTGGAAGAGGCACGTAAAGCAGCACAGATGGTTGGATCCGGGACAGCAGGACCCGCACAGGACCTCACGCCCGTGCGCAACCTTCTCGCCTCGCTCGCTGCCCTTGTCCCCAACATCCCGAATGAGGAGGCCCGCCGCCACATGCAGGCCCAATTGGATGAGGTCAAGCCGCTGGTGGATCCTCCCCCGCCCGCTGTTGATGCCGCCGATGTTCCAGTGTCTCGCACTTGCCGTGGCGACAGAGCAGCAGCAGGAGAAGGAGGAGGAGGACAAGCAGGAGCACCAGCCGACATGGAAGGAGGTGAGAGTGAGGACCTGTTTGAGGCTTTTCGGAGTGCAGGGGTCAATGTCGAGAAGCGCGCCCTGTTCACAGCATTTCGTGCCTTTCAAGTCAAGCGAGCCAAGCGTGAAGGCCACTCTCAGCGTCCAGCAGATGACATGTCAGACTCAGATGAAGACCCCTGTGGGACCACCTGGACCCCGCCACCTCCAGGGACATTGCCCACGGCAGGGCAGACGGCGCACTAAATGTCCCAGGGATATGCACACTGTCACGTACAATGGGAACTGCTGGGCCACAGCAGAAGGGTTCATTAATGAGACATCGGCAGCTGTTGTACTTATTCAGGAGCACAAGCTAGGTGCAGATCGTCAGTCAGAAGTCAGTCGACGTATGGCGGGGGCTGGTTGGAAATGTTTCTGGGGCCAGGCCAGTATTTCTGACAAAGGGCAGTACACAGGTGGCACATGTATAGCAGCACGCAGTTACTTAGATGTCTGGTCTGGGCCGTCTGGGGCTTCAGTTATCACGCGCCATCTTGCACACTGCTATCTGCGCACAGCACAACTAGGCATCATTGGTTTGTACTCTATCTACATGCAGGACAGCATCAAGATTGCTGGACCTAACATCCATGTACTACGAACTCTAGGACAGCATGCACTAGAAGCTGGGGTTCCTATCATTGTAGGAGGAGACTGGAACATGACCACCACGGAAGTTCGGGAAGGACTTCAGACAAATATTTTGGAATGCTGTTTCAGGTTTGATCCTTCGGTCCCGTCGCATATTTTTGATGGCGGGCAAGGCAGTTCAAATATCGACTTCTTCCTCATTAGTCGGCCTCTGGATGCAGTTGCTAGCGATGCCCAAGTGGAGCTCCAGAATCCAGTTGTTCCTGGACCCCATCGACCTGTTGGGTTTGACCTTCGCAGAGTTGCTCGGGACATTACAGTACAAATTCGGACACGCCATGCCACGTTTCCTACCGTCCCTGGCATCGGACCTTCGCTGCCACCGCCCGACTATGAAGCCCTCAATGCCAAGATCGACCAGTACATTGCAGACCACTCGGAGGATGGGGTCACCAACAATGTTCTAGGTGATAATAGGCTGGCGGGGCAGACTTTCCTGGACGAGGTTTATCAGGACTGGGCAGGTAAAACATGGTGTGAACTTCAACAGGTCACACACGCCGACCCCAAACCCAAGTTGCTACGTGCTGGGGCTCCTATTCAGGTCACGGAGAGGCCCCTCAGGCTAAGTCTGGCCACGAAGCAGAGCCAACGGAAGCTCCCAGGAAACGCCCTCCATTGGATGAGATCCAGGCTCCAGGAGTTACGACATCTGCGAAACCAGGTCCTGACAGGAGCCGAAGACCGAGTTCGGCAGTACTACAACTACCTCCTTCAAAGTACCAGGCGTATTCGAGACAGAGGTGGTCCCCTCCGCAAGCATCTCGGCTGTGAAGGAGCTGGGTGGCAGTTCCTACTCAACACTCTCATCGACAAACTCAACGGAGATACCAATACCCAGCACGGCAATGCAAGTGGACCACATATGACGCCAACTTCGATGACATCAGAGAAGGGAGTTGTTGAGAATATTAGTGTGGACTCTGTTGGACTGGATGAGTCAAGGATAAGGATACCACATTCACTAGATGATGTTGATCATGATCCATTTGCAGACCTGGAGGCCGACCTTCAAGGACGGGATCGCGAACCAGGGAACTCTAATATCAGATCCGAGCCAGAGATGCTCCCCACCTCGTCGCCCACCCCCCATGCTGGCGATCTGAACGCTAGGACCAGTGTGACCAGGGATGAGACTGAGACCAGTTTGGAAACTCCCGTCCACTGGTCGGCTGGAGGGACCCTGGCCAGGCCAGGACACAGGAATACCAGTCCAATCGAGAGCCAAGCGGATCCTTCGCCTGTTACCTCTACTACTTTGGACAACCAGCTCAGTGGTTGGATTGCACTACTGGAGGTCGCTGAGAGGCAGCAGACTGCACTTTCTCGCAGGCAGAAGGCACGTGATTGGACTGAGTGGCGCAGCAATGCCTTTGACTCAGGCGGAGGTGGTGCTGCGCATGCTTTTACACGAATCAAGCCGACCTACGAGGAGGAGGTCTACGTACGCAAGGACGGCACTGTGACTGCTTCCCTAGATGGCATATTAGAGCAACAGATGGAGCAATGGCAACAGGCGTGGCAAGCGGGGACAGTGCAAGATCAGTTTGTAGAAGCCCCTGCTGCGATCCCACCTCGCTGCACGCCAGAGCTGCTGAAGAGAATTTCACGACGATTTAAGACACATACTATTGCAGTTGACGGTATTCACCCGAAGCACTTTTCATTACTCAGTGACCAGTGCCTTTCTGCCCTCACAGGGATCTTCTCGATCATGAATATGATTTCAAATGCGCCAAGCAACCTGCAGCAGGTCATCATGCAGATGTTTCGCAAACCAGTGACAGGCAGGAGACCCATTGGATTCTTCACCAGTACAGTGCGCCTTCACGGAAAGATCATGTCGTGGCAGGCTCGAGAATGGGAACGTGGAGCTGCTGACCATCCAGTATTCAGCATGGCGCCTGGGCGAGGACCTCTAGACGCAGTCTGGAGACAGGCCACACGTGGAGAAGCCCTTGCGATAAATGGATATCACATTTTATCAGTGCCGTGGGATTTGAAGCAGTTCTATGAGCACATGTCGCACCACAGACTGTGGGAGGTTGCCTTCGAGATCAACTACCCCATCTCGGTCCTACAGTACAGCCTCAACTCCTACAAGTGGCCGGGGAGAATTGCATTGGACGGACTCATATCCCAACCATTATACCCCCGTCGTGGGATAATTGCGGGAACTGGCACTGCCACATACGAAGCAAAGATGTTCGTCTTCCCAGCGGCCAACGAATGGATCAACCAGACTACGGAGCAGACCCTCCCAAATGTAGGGCTGGCCACACTTACAGTCCATATTGATGATCTGTGTATTAATGTAGCAGCTCGAGGATTCCATGACTGTGTGAATGGAATGTACCATCGAGCATCTCACTTGGCACAACTTGTCAATGATCTGCTGGGAGTTCCCCTCGCAGAGAAGAAATTATGCTTCACTGGGACGTCCAAGCCTTTGATGGATGCATGCAGGGCGGCCCTAGGACCCCTGGCTGGACAACCCGAGATTGCGGTCAAGAATCTTGGTGTGGACTTCTCGCTCGGACGGCACAGACAACAAGCAGGTCATGGAAAAGTTCGGAGAAGAAGGTTTGAATTGATCAAGACACGATTGAAAAAACTGACAGCGATGAAAGGTTCTGGGAAACAAAAAGGTCGGATATTTCTTGCTGGGATTCAAGCATCAGCAACATATGGAGGAGAAGTTCTTGGCCATACTCCTGGAGAAATTAAGATTCTCAGACGTGCTGGTGCTAAGGCCCTTGGGTTTCTTGGAGGTGCGCTCGACATTGGATGGACTCTCCACGCGGACCAAGACCCCCTGAACAAGGCAGCAGATACTCTCAAGAGATATGCTAAAGAATGGTGGCAGGCATCTGATGGCGACCTGCTACAAGGAGATGGCCTCACTGCGCGTGAACTGGTCAATGCATTCTCGGCCACTCAACAACATCTATTGCAGTTGCCCCCTGGGGCTTCTTGGCTCAGGAAGGTGTCTGGGCCACTATCGGATATGCACCTGTGGATGCGAGAAGCAGGCTGGGAGGCAATCAACGCGAACGTCTTCGTGGGGCTGAATGGAGAACATCATCATCTGACCTCAACGCCGCCTGCCCAGATTGCCAAAGCCTTTATTTCTGATCTAAGAAGCCAATTTCTTAAGCCAGCCCTCCTGCGAGCCCTTTCGGAGAATTCGAACCCGAGGGCCCTGGAGATCCGCGAGAGAGGGCTCTGGTCCCTGGGCCCGCGCAGGCTTTTGGCTAGCAAGAAGTTCCCGAAAGAGTATAAGCGAGTTTTAGTTCAAGTTTTCACGGGTATGTACCCCACAGGATTAACTTTACAGAGATGGGGGTACCATGCCAATGGGTTGTGCCCCCACTGCCACAAACCCGACTCGATCTTCCATCGTGCCTGGGAATGTCCCTGGCTGGAGGCCGAACGGGAAGGGCAGGATGAGGAGATGCGAACGATGGCGCTCCACCATGGGCCTACCGATCCCCTCTTTTCCTCGCTGTGGATGCCCTCCCCTCTCCTTCTGGCCAGGCCCATGGAGGAGCCCATCATCCACTTTTTCGGCCCAGACGGGCATTGCGAGGAGTTTAGGTTCTCCAGATCGGGTCGCTTTTACAGTGATGGGAGTTGTTATGATGGAGCCATTCCAGGGGTGGCCAGAGCTGGCTGGGCTGTGGTTGAAGTTTCGGAGTCTGGGCACCTTGTCCGCGGGATCTCTGGACCTGTTCCCGACGGGGTGCCCCAATCTGCGTCCTCGGCCGAGCACCATGCTGCCTGTATGTTTGAGAGGTTTTTGGAGCCACCAGAGGACCCAGCCGCCGCCGCCCCTCCCCTGATCGTTACCTCCCTGGCGACCGTTCTGCACACTGACTGTCTTGCTGTGGTCTGGGGGGCCAGTAATCACGGGCTGGCGAAAAGACATACTGGCCCCCACGCAGGCTACTGGAGGATTTCAGGCAAGCCCACATATGTTTGCGTCAAGGTCAAAGCTCACAGAGATGAAGCTCTGGCTGTGGACAGCCAGGACCTGCGTCATATTCGTGGGAATTGTTTAGCTGACCACGCAGCGAAAGAAGCTGCGAGGAACAATAATATGAGCAAAGAGGACTTTGAGAGTTTCACTGCTGCTCGCAAACTTCTGAAGCAGGTAGCCTTCAATATGCTCCAGATTCTTGTGCAATGGCCCCCACTCAAGGACCTCTATGGCGCCCTTGATCGGCCCTTGAGGGCCAGAGCCTTCCCCGTCCTCCCGCGGCCCCATGATCCGTCTTGGGATGGCGCGAGGTGGAGGTGCTGCCAATGCCACAGGACTGGAGCGAGAGTGCTTGCGAATTCGAAGTGTTTTGTTTTTCCCCCGACCCTGCAGGAACTGGTTACCCAGGCAGGCCAGTCCAGCTACTCGCACTCCTTGTGGTGTGCTGTCAATTCAAGGTCAGGGATCCCGCTTTTGTTTTGCGGCCAATGTGGCCACATGGGGAGCGCCAGGGCCCGCCATCTGTGTGGGCCTTGCAGGCCCTCCCCCAGTTCCCTGAAAGATCTGAAGAAGCTGTGGAAAGGGGCCATCCCTGGGAGTTCAGGACAGACGATCTCTGAACCGTGGCCCCTCCATTCGGCTCCCCTTCCCAATTTTGGCCGCGCCCCCTCATCCAGGTTGCTCCTTTCCCTCGAGGAAGGTATTGCGAGAACCTGGCGCAGGCGGGCGCTCTCTCTCTTTTCTTCTCTTTGCCTGGTAGGGTCTCTGATCGACCAGGTTTCATCATGGAACGATGGAACGAGGGGAGGGGAGGGAGAGGAAGGGAGAGAGGGGGGGGGTGGGAGGAGGAGAGGAACGGAGGGAGGAAGAGGGGGGGGGGAGAGCGAGGAGGACCCGATCGAGCCCACGCGTCGGCCTATGACCCGGCCCGCTCTTCTCGGTGCCGGGCGGCCCACGTGGCCGGCCGACGCCGTGGCCGACAGTTGGCAACGATTGTGTTTTCCCTCCGCCCTTCCCCTCCTCCACCTCCTCCACCTCTTCGTACTCCTGACTCGAGTCGTCCTCCTATCTTACTCTATTGTCCTGCTACTCCTGCTCCCTCTCTTGCTCTCCCTTCCTCCCCGTCCTCCCAGCCGCGATGCTTTGGCGCCTCGGTGCTACACCCTGCACCACTCCCCAGCCACCGTTCAGTCGCGCCACGTCTCGCGCTTCAGCTTCTGCGGGTGTCCGCGTCTGCCGATCGCGCCCCAGCTGAGGCGTTACAGGAGGGGCCTCGCCTTCGAGGATCGGAGGAGTTGGCATCTCTTCCTCGGCGGAACGAGGCGGAGGGGTGGCGGACGGCGGCGGCAGTGACACTAGGCCGCCATTCCGCCAGCGGAGGCTGGCGGGGGGCCAGCGGAAGCCGGGGGGAGTAAACATCGGCGCCCCAAGAGATGGCATGGTTTTTCGGTCCAGGGCTTCCAGAGCCCACCAGCTGGACCCGCCGAGCCTTCGCCCGTGCCACATCCCCCAGAGTGTCAATTTCACCCACGTTTCATTGAGTTTTCATGTGTGTATGCCGTGTTCGTTTGCATTGATTATTAGCACAGTGTTTGATTATGTCTGGACCGCTGCCGTTTGATGTTCAGGGGCCCCTGAGTCACAGGAAAAGGTTGCGTATTCTTTCCCAGATTATCGAGATAATCAGATCACGTACATCCCGAGACAGACTTAGTGTGCTGCCATCGGTTGAGATTGGTAGCGGAGCCGGAGATCCACACCCATCTCCGGCACCCCGTCCCCGCGCCATGCCCGCTGGCGCGACGCCGCCCCGCGGAGCGGCGAAGCCGCCAGGACCGCCGCCGGCGAAACCGCCGGGCACCCCGCCCCCTGCCGCCGCGGCTGCTTCGGCTGCCAGCGGCGCGGACCCCGCTGCCGCGACCACTCGGGCCCCCGGCAGCGAGGGCGACGAGGCAGCCTACGCCGAGGAATGGGCTGGCTGGACGGACGGAAGCTGGTGGCGCCAGGAGAGTTCCAACTGGGACGGGGGCAGAGGACTCGACGCGGGCCTGTCCAAGACGGCGCCCAGCTACGAGCTGCTGAAGACCGACGGCTACCGAGTTCTCAGGCGAAAGCTAGAGGTCTTCGAGAGGTGTTGCCGCAAGCGCGGCACGACCGCCATCAGCGAGGGAGCGTTTCTGGTCATGAACTCGCTGCAAGGAGAGGCGGCTGAGGCTACGGAAGAGATCGACCTGGACCTGCTAGAGACGGACGAGGCCTTCAGGCCGCTGTTCAAGGTCCTGGACGAATACTACAAGTATGATAACCAGACTGAGCTGCCAGCCCGGACGGATCAGTTCTTCGGCAGGTTCGCCCGCCAGGAGAAGGAATCCACGAAGTTGTACTGCCTACGACATCAGCGCGACATAAGGAAGCTGAAGGAAGTAGGCATGGAGATCCCAGATATGCTAGCGGGCTGGCACCTCCTCACAAGAGCGGCGATCCCACCGTCAGGTGCCGCCCAGGTTCGGAGTCAATGCGTAGACGGCCTCAGTTGGCTGAAGGTGAAGAAGGCGTTGCTCGACACGTACGGAGCCGAGGGTCTGCCCGACAAGCGCGACGTCAAGCGAGTGGAGAAGATGCTGCTCGGGCAGAATACCAAGGACGATGCTCACTACACGAACGATTACGAGTGGGAACGAGGCCTGAGCTACGAAGACACGTACCTGGAGGAGGAAGAGTATGACGATGAAGATGAGTACGAGTACGAAGATGCAGATGAGGAGGCCGAGATCGCGGAGGAGTTGCCCCAGGATGTTGAGGACGCTCAGCTCGCGCGCGATGAGGCCTACCTGAGTTTCGTGGATGCCAAAAAGCGTGTGGCTGAGATCGCGAAGTCCAGAGGCTTCTACCCGATCGTCGCTGTGGCGCCCGACAACAACTACCGTGAAGCACGACCGGCCCGAGCCCCAGGCAAAGGCAAGGGACGTGGACGTGGCAAGGGTAAAGGCAAAGGCAAAGGATCCAGTCAGCCACGACGAGATCCATCAGCGTTCAAGTTCCCGAAGGCCCCTTTCACCCGCTCGCCGCCTGCATCCAGTGCGGGATCGACCGGGACGGGCTCGACCCAGCAGCACGGCCCGAGATTCAAGAGGTTCCGCCACGGCGGGTTCAGCAGGCCAGAGACCGAGTCAGGTAACATGGTCGAGGACGTCGAAACGTTGGAGTACGCGAACTCGACCGAGGAGGTGTTCCTGCTTACGGTCGGCAAGGGCATCAGCGACGGAGGCGCCACACGGCCCGTCATGGGCGACGAGGTTTGGGCGCAGTGGGAGGAGCTGCTTCGCGTGAAGCAGTTGCTGCACGAGGTCAAGTATGAGAGGAGTGATCGACGGTTCAGGTTCGGCGACGGTAAGACGCTCGAAGCGAAGGAAGCAGTGACGTTGGCGGCATGGCCGTTCGGGATCAAGAAGCAAGTCACCATCCACCTCGTCGAGGGGTGGACGCCGCTGCTCATCGCCAGGCCCTGCATGGAGGAGTGGGGTCTCATTCAGGATTATCGCGCAGGCACGCTATGATGAAGGACCTTCCCGACAAGGGCTGGATGAAGTCTGAACGAGATGAGAAGGGCCACTTCATCATTGATGTGTTGGGCAGCGCCGGGAAGGAAGCGGACGACGCCATGAATGAGGGCGCTCCCACGGACGGCGAGGAGAGCAGCGACGACTCGACGGACAAGGATTCGGAGGGGAGTTCGGTGAAGGGGGAGACCGACGACGGCAGCGACTCGTCGGTGCCCGACGCCGACGCCTACTACCTCGAGACCGTCCCGGAGTTCTACGACATCGGCAGCGACGACGAGGCGCTGACGACCGAGGGTTTCTTAGACATGGACGCGGACACCTACTCAGACCTGATCTTGGCCCTAGAGCAAGCGGAGACCGACATGAAGGACACGTTTAGAGGACCCCGCGAGCGCGTGGTCTGGGAGGTCTTCGTGGACCAAGGGGCGCTGTCGGAGGAGCTGCTGGAGTTCCCGCAGGTCAAGGTGATCCAGTTCAGCATGGCTGACGGCTGGGACTTTTCCAAGCCCAACGTGATTCGCAGCTTCTTGAGTAAGATCGATGAGGAGAAACCCGATGACATCTTCTTCGCACCCCCATGCAGGATATGGCGTTCGTGGCAACATGTCAATGAGAAGTTGTCGGAGGAACACGCGAAGGAGATCAACCTCACCCGGCAGAGAGAGGAAAAGACGTTCCTCAAGATGGTTCGAGATTCGTTTGTGAAGCAGCAGAACGGTGGACGTCATGCGCATGTAGAAGGCCCGTGGCAAGGGCTACACTGGCAGACCAAGACCTGGCAGAAGCTGCCTGGATATCACTGCCGGCTCGACCAGTGCAGGTTGGGCGCGAAGTTCGAGATCAAGGGTAAGTTCATGCCGTACCAGAAGCCCACACGACTCCAGTCCACGAACAAAGAGTTTGTTCACCACATGAACATGAAATGCAGCTGCACCGAGGAGCACGTGGTTTTGCGCGGCAAGCTTGCCCAGCAGGCTCAAAACTACCCGAGACCGATGGCGCGAAGGATGGCCTACTTGATCGCCTATCAGGGCATGGCCGATGACATTGAAGATATCAACACCGCCGAGGAGGTCTCCAAGGATATCGACGCCATCGAGTACACCGACGTGATGCAGGAGCTGATGAAGCGTTTCAACGTGTCGACGATCAGGGCGGTCAAGCGCGCTCACATCAGCCTGGGCCACCCTTCCAACGCGGCACTGGCTACCGCCATGAAGCACGCGAAGGCCCCGGCCGAGTGGCTCCAGTGTGCCAAGCTCTTCCAGTGTGAAGTGTGCCTGAGCAGGCAACGACCTCGAGCAGTGCGCGTAGCTGTGCTGCCGAAGGCTAAACGGTTCAACGAGGTCGTGAACACCGACGTCTACTACGTCACCTGGAAGAACAAGGAGCGAAAGATCTTGGCCATGATGGATGAGTTTACGCGCTACGAGGTGGACTACCCGATCGCGAAGGAGACTTTCAAGAAGGAGGTGAAGCTGTTTCAGAAAGTGTGGATCAGCTGGGCTGGCAAGCCCGACACCATGAGGATGGACATGGCAGGCTCGCACACGCCAAGAAAGATGCACCAGTGGATGAGTAAGCACGACATCGCGCTCGACCTGACCCCGAAGGGCGCGCACCACAAGCTCGGACTCATGGAGCGCAACCATGCGGCCAGGAGGGAGCAGCTCAGCAAGTACCACCTGCAGTTTCCCGACGACTCGCTCAAGACCGCGCTCAGGATGACCGCCAGCCAGCGGAACATCTTACGCAACGTGCACGGGTATTCGCCCGCGACGCTGGTGCTGGGCACACAGCCCAAGGTGCCTGGCGCGCTGTGCGACGAGGACTTCGGCCTGGCGGAGCAGGCCGCGCTGGTCGATCCCAAGAGCGAGGTGCACGAGATGATGGTCAGGCGCGCTGCGGCGGGGACGGCATTCATCGAGGCCAACTGTTCTCGTGCCGTGCGAGCTGCGCTGTTGGCGCGCAGCAGACCGACACGCCGCGAGTACCAGATCGGCGAGTGGGTCTACTTCTGGCGACCCGAGATGTCGACGGGCATGGAGAAGTGCCACTGGCATGGCCCGGCGCTGGTGGTGGCGGTGGAGTCGAAGGTCAACGAGGACGACGTGATGCACACGTCCGTGGTGTGGGTCACGCACGGGTGCACGATCTACCGATGCACGGTGGAGCAGCTCCGTCCCGAGCTGTCCAGTGAGACCCGGGAGAGAGAAGGGCGACGCGAGGACCCAGACAGCCCACTCAGCACCATCGAGAAGCTGAGGAGGGCGCTCAGGCGGACCAAAGGTACCTGCAGCTTCAGTGACCTCGCCGAGGGGGGCCAGCGGCCCCAGTACGACGACGCCCTGGACGACATGGGCGCACAGAGCAGCCCGGCGCCCAGGGACACCCCGATGGAGATCCTGTTGGACAAGAACGAGAGGAGCCGAGTGGAGCGGCTGCCGCGGCAGCTCCCGAGGCCCACCAGCCATTTGAGGCTGACGAGGAGGCGGCTCCAGAACCCGCAGCTGCGGGGGCCAGCGCTGCGCGAGAGCGCGGCAACGCCGCGAGGGAGCCGAGCAGAGCCCACCTCGAGGCGATGGCCAAGAGGAGCATCGAGGAGGCCGAGAGGCTGGACGGCATCCCCTTGGCAAAACGCGCCCGCATGTCGTGGGCCAGGCTCGCACCGCAGCAGGAGGAGTCGTGTCTCATCGAGGAGGTGGACGACGAGATGATGTTGTTGGAGGAATCCACCGAGACAGTCTACATGCTGGCTTTCAAGAGGAAAGTCCCCACCATCGTGGAGGGCAGGCTTACACCCCGAGGAGCGGGAGCAGTTCTACGCAGCCAAGCTGGAGGCCCTCGAGGTGTTCAACAAGAATGACGGCTGGGAACCCATCGACAAGGCGGAGGTGGACCCAGCGGCGTGCTGCCCGCTACGCTTCCTACTGAAGTGGAAGGTGAAGGACGGGCAGCGAGTGGCCAACGCTCGAGTGCTCTACCAAGGTTTCAAGCACCGCGACGTGGCCGAGAGCCAGCTTGACAAGGAGGCGCCCACTTTGAGCAGGCCGGGCCGACACACGGTCATGCTGTGGGCATCCTTGAGGAAGTGGAGACTGTTCGCTGCGGATGTGAAGTCCGCATTTTTACAGGCCGAGGACGTCAGTGTTCGCGGCATCAAGCTGTACGCGAGCCCGACAAAGGAGATGAGGGACATGCTTGTACACCAGATCGGCCTGCAGCCTGGACAGTTGCTGAAGATGATCAAGCCTTGTTTTGGGGACCCGCGGTCGCCCAAACTCTGGCACTACCGCTCCGACGAAGTCACGAGGGAGATCGGGTTCAGGAATCACTGGCTCGAGGATTGCTTGCTGCTGTCCTTGCGGGCCGCGCGACCCTCGGACGACCCGTTCGACGCGTGCAGTTTCGACGGCCAGACGTTCGTGGTGGACGGGCTGATCGGCAAGCACGTGGACGACTTCATCGGCTGCGGCGAGAACGTGAGTTGCGAGGATGATCTATACGCCAAGCTGGACGACACCGAGTGCTTCCAGGCGCGGCTGGGCATGCTCAACGAGAAGTTCAAGTTCGGCAAGTGGGAGTTCGGACCGAGTCTAGTCTTCACCGGCGGCGAGGTGGAGCAGTCCCTGAGCACCCACGCGATCACCATCAAGTTCGAGAAGTACCTGCACGCGGTGAAGCCCATCACCGTGGAGAAGCACCGGCGGGCAGATCCCACCAGCGCGCTGTCGCCGAAGGAGCTCGCGAATTTCAGGACCCTGAACGGCCAGCTACAGTGGCCGGCAGCCCAGGCTGTCATCATCGCGGCGGCGACCGTATCGTTCAGAGCCGCAGCGACTGGCCACGCGACAGTGCAGGACTTGCTGGATGCGAACAAAGATTTACGGCTCCTGAAGGCCAACGCGGATGTGGGACTGTACTTCGGCTTCGACAGGCCGTGGAGTGAGTTGCGCGTTGGAGGCTACTCAGACGCGAGCTGGGCCAGCCGACCTGACGGAAGTTCCCAAGGAGGCTATCAGATCTTCGTCGGACCCGAGGACGAGCTCAACGCCGGCACCCCAACACCGTTCGTGGCCATGGAGTGGGCCTCGAAGAAGCTGGTGCGGTTGTGCAGGAGCTCTCTGTCCGCCGAGGCACAAGCCGCGGCGCTGGGAGCCGACTCGCTGATGTGGGTGAAGGTCTTTTTGGCCATGAGTCTGAGGCCTGACCTCGGACTTGACACCGCCATGACATACCTCGGAGAGTCGCCGTGCATCACAGACGCGAAGTGCCTCTACGACGCCGCCTCGCGGTCAGCGACGGCAGGATTGGGCATCGCAGAGAAGAGAACAGCCATCGAGGTGAAGATCGTGAACGAGCAGCTGGCAGAGGTCAACGCTAGGTGGAAGTGGGTGAACACCCAGCAGCAGATGGCAGATGGACTCACCAAGCTTTCGGCGCGCCAGATGATGGCGGATGTGCTACGCCGTGGAGTTCACGCCTTGCGCTACGACCCCGACTTCGTGGCCGGCAAGAAGCTCACTAAGCGCGCGATGGAGCAACGCGAGAAGGAGCTGGACCAGGCAGGAGAAGAGTTGCTCGACACCTTCGAGAAAGAACCCGCGGCGAAGGCGAAGGCTAAGGCCAGGACGCGCCATTTTGGCGCGAGTGGAGCTCGTTTGGCAGCTACGTTGGCAGCTTCGGGAGCGACTGGCTCTGGAGCTGAGGTGGTACAGTATACGCCCAGCGGCGTCGAGCTGTTCCACCCATCGACCGACGACGGCTGGGACAACCTGCTGGCGAGGTTGGCTATGTTCGGATTCCTGACGGCGATGCTCATGGCTTTTGGCTGTGGGTTCTGGGTCGGCACCTGCTGGACGCGCTGGACTACGACGAGCGCTGAGCAGAAGAGCATCAAGCTGCGTGAGCCTGAGACCGAGCCGACGGAGAAGCACTACGTCGAGGGGACCGAGAAGATGACGACCGGTGTGAACACCAAGCAGCCACGCCAGAAGAAGGTGCGCCACATGATGTGTCAGGCGCAGTGCCGTTACAACCAGGACACGCAGACGCCAAGGTTCCAGCCGCTGCCCGAGTACGCGCACGGAGCTTTCATGGGATAGAGAACGACGAAGGGGACCCAGCCTACGGCTGCGTGGCGGCGGTGCCGCATGATATGATGTGCATCGAGATGCACAACTACGTGAGCGCCCACGAGGCGCGGACTTGCTTGCCTGGCGAGAGCGACCGATCGCCCGGCGTGCTGAAATAATTAAGGAGATGTATGTCGCTGACGCGACCGCCGGTATGTTTCACATTCGAGTTTTACTGGCTTGTGCAGGGGACCTGCGGTGGCAGTGATGTCTGTCTGTGTTTTGTTTCGGTCCCGTTCCCGAAAGCTTGGAGCTTTAAGATTTTGTTTAGGTTTGTCGTTTGAGTCCCCTGGTAATCGTCCGGGGAACCCTGAGTTCAGGCAGCGTGGTTTGTAATGTATCACCCACGTTTCATTGAGTTTTCATGTGTGTACGCCGTGTTCGTTTGCATTGATTATTAGCACAGTGTTTGATTATGTCTGGGCCGCTGCCGTTTGATGTTCAGGGGCCCCTGAGTCACAGGAAAAGGTTGCGTATTCTTTCCCAGATTATCGAGATAATCAGATCACGTACATCCCGAGACAGACTTAGTGTGCTGCCATCGGTTGAGACAGAGTTCCCTGACGCATCAGCGGGCGCAAGCGCCAGGTCTGGAGAATGGCCTGGACCAGAGCTAAGGTGAGTCGGAGGAGGGAGGAGGAGGAGGAGGAGGAGGAGGAGGAGGAGGAGGAGGAGGAGGAGGAGGAGGAGGAGGAGGGAGGAGGAAGGAGGAGGGGGAGGAGGAGGGAGGAGGAGGAGAAAAGGAGAAGGGAGGGTCTGATGATGGCGATGGGGATTGCGATGCTGTTATTGTTGCTGCTGCTGGTTACGATGAACAGGCCGACGGGGAGGGGACGGGGGGGTGGGAGGAGGAAGAAGAGGCGGATGAACAGGAGAAGGAGTAGCAGGAGGAGCAGGAGGACGAGGAGGAAGATGAGCAGCATAATAATTCAACTGGCAGCCGCAGTGGGAGCAAAGCAGTGGCTTCCCAGAGTACGGGCGATGGGAGCAGGAGTAGCAGGCGTCTGCCCCTCCCCCACCGCCCAAGACAGGCAGCACCCGATTTGGCTGCAGGCCGGGGCTGGGGCGGGGTCTGTGTGCCTCCGCCGCCTCCTCTTCTTCCTCCGTCGTAGCGCTGCCCGCTGCCGCGTTCGCTGTAAGACGGCAGGGGGCGACGACGATGACGACGATGAGCAGGATGTGTATGAGGATGGCGGCGATGGCGGCAGCGAGGAGGAGAGGACTGCTCTCAAAGCTGGCTGGGGTGTGCTTCTGCGCCTATACAGTCCTGGGTAGGCTGGCAGAGAAGAGGGCATTCGGACAGGGGCAGACAGGATGACGAGGATAATGATGCTGAGGGAAGCTGGGAATAGGAGGAGGAGGGGGAGGGGGTAGGGGAAGTGGGGGGTAAACTGGATGAGGGTTTTGCCGCTGCACTGCTCTGCCACGCTTACGCTTTCTCAGTCCTCATGGCGGCCAGCCAGGCAGCCGTCGAGCGCGACACCGAACCACGAGCCCAGCACAGGGAAACTTGCATGCTGGACTGCCTGTAACCGCGGCTGCAGGCACGCGGAGAGATGGTGCCCCCGTGACGGGCCAGGAGGTTATCTTCGCGGGCGGCAGTCGAAACGCCGAGCAACTCTGAGGGCATCCACGTCGAACTATATATGTTCACTCTTCGGGTGTCTGTGATCTGTCATCCGGTTCCAATGATCTGTAGATGAGCGGAGACAGTGCAACGTTTTATTGCACCTCTGAAGGAGATACCTCGCATACCCGCCCATCGAAAAAGCCGTGCAATTCAGACGAGTGCATAAGGCACTTCTGTCAGAACCAGATTTCGCAACGCACTTGCAACCTAGCCCTGCCAACCTTGTGCCGTAGGGCACATGTGAGTCTTATTGCACACACTCCTGGGGGGGAACATGAACGCGTAGGTCTCAACCATTGCTTATATTGCCAGAACGTGTCCCTTCGAACCCAGGTGTGGCGGGCCTTGGGAACGGGGACAGGCGCCTCCTGACGGACTCTGGTGGCATGCGAGAGGGCCACGTTGGGGCCACAACGGGAGCAATCTGGCAGCGATCAAACAAACTTTGCGAGTGATGGGGAGGGCTCGATCGAGCCACTCGGATTGCTCGGGGCTCGGCTTCCCGTCGGCCAGCGCACCAAGCTACCCGCGTGCACACGACGGAAGGTGAATTGCTCGCTACGCGGCGCGGCCCAAACCTCCACCACAGTTTGGCAACCATCGAAACCTTCAGAACCCTCGAGCGCTTTCCGGCGAGTAGCACTGCACGCAGCAAACTCGCCAGTTTGGTCAGTCAGTTTGTGGGATGGGGAGGGCGAGGGGATCATAAACGGAGGGGGACGGGGAAGGCGAGGAGGAGGAGGAGGACGGTTTATGATGAGGAGAAGGATGGGTGATGAGGCAGAGGACAGGTAGGATAAACAACAATTACCCCGGCGAAGGACCCAACCACTTACAGCTACAGGTGGAACGAAGCAGGGGGGCCTTCGGTGGAGCTCCCTATGGGGCCACGGAGCGTGCGAAGGGGTGTGCCGAAATGGGTACGGTGGCGCCATGCGGACCCTCCCACTGGAGCCTTCGGTGGACCTCCCGATGGGGCCACGAAACATGTGAGGATGTGAGTGATGATGGTGATCGCGCTGATGCTGATTCCGCTGAAGCTGATGATGATGGTGATGCGGAGGGTGATAAGTATAAGATGACGGTGATAACTGAGGAGTGGGAGGGGAAAGCAGGAAGACGCGGGGCGTTGCTGGTTCAAAACGAGGACCCAACACCACATGATGTCTGGACAAAAAACGAGGGAGACACGGAGGGGAGGAAGAAAGAATGCAGGAGGAGGAGGAGGAGGAGGAGGAGAAGTGAGGAGGAACCAGGAGTGCGGAGCGAGGAGGCGTCATTCGTGACAAGTGATGTGGAGGGAGGAGTAGGAGGAGGTGGAATAATGAGAAGAGGATAATATGAAACACCAGTTGAGGAGGAGGAGTAGGAGGAGGAGGAGGAGGAGAAAAAGGTATGCGAGTCTATGTGACGATGCAGGAGAATACACGTGCCCCTCGCGCGTTGGCGAGGAAGGTGCTCAGTCCTCACCGCTGCGGCACTCGAACTCGCAGCAAGGGAGGAGAAGATGGATGGGAGGAGGAGGAGTGAGGAGGAGGAGGAGGAGGAGGAGGAGGAGGAGGAGGAGGGAGGAGGAGGAGAAGGAGAGGAAGAGCAGGAACAGGAGAGGAGGAGAAGGAGGAGGAGGAGCAGGAAATGCCGGACGAGGAGGAGGAGGAGAGGACGAGGAGGAGGAGGAGACGGACGAGGAGGAGGAGGAGGAGGAGGAGGAGGAGGAGGAGGAGGAGGAGGGCGGCGTGCAGGAGGAGGAGAGAGGAGGAGGAGGAGGAAAGGAGAAGGAGAAGGAGAAGAGAGGAGGAGAAGGAGGAGGAGGAGGGAGGAGGAGGAGGAGGAGAGGAGGAGGAGGAGGAGGAGGAGGAGGAGGAGGAGGAGGAGAGGAGGAGATGGCGGCGGAGGAGTGAGGAGGACGGTGAGGAGTAGCAGGAAGAGGCAGAAGAAGGTGGAGGAGAAGGACGAGGACGGCGTGCAGGAGGAGAGGGAGGAGAGGAGGAGGATGAGGAGGAGGAGGAGGACGACGACGACGACGATATACACGGCGAGGAGGGGCAGGATGAGAAATCGGAGGCCGAAGATGGCTTGCCCGGCCGCGGTTGCGACGCCGAGGCCCTGAGGGAGATTTTCGACAATTCGTGGTGCGGCGACGACCCGGTGCATCCGAGCCAACGCTGGCGGGGCTGGGCGAGGACGAGGGAGTGATCTGGGGGGGGAGAGCAGGGGGGGGGGGGCAGGTGGAGAGGAGGGAGAGGGGGGGAGGAGGTAGGAATGAGGAGGGAGGAGGAGGGAGGGAGTGGGGAAGGAAAGAGGAGGGAGGGGAGGAGGGAGGGAAGGAGGGAAATAGGAAAGGAGGGGGGATACGAATGAGGTGGCAGTGGTGGCGGAGATGGAGGAGGAGGTGGTGGTGGAGGGAAGAAGAGGAGGAGGAGGAGGAGGAGGAGGAGGAGGAGGAGGAGGAGGAGGAGGAGGAGGAGGAGGAGGAGGAGTAAGAAGAGGAGGAGGTCCTTGCTGACCCAAGCCCAGCCTGGAAGGCGCCTCCAACCTCCAACCCTGCTGACCCCAGCGACGGCAGATCGATCACACAAGCAAGGCTGCGCAGCCATAGCCAACCCCGGACCTGGCACCCAACTTGACGACTCGCGCCGCCTCAGGGCGCGCGCCGCGGCTCCCCGCAGGCCGCCACTGCCCAAAGCCCCGCCACCACCCCTGGACAGAACACACGACGCACACACAGCAGCTCGACCGCCTACCGCTGTACCACCACCGCATCAACGCCAGGAGGCAAAATCCACCACCAGAGGCAAGCACTCAGGGCCACGAGCACGCTTGGTCCTGACAGAATGGGGAGGCAAACTACTCGAGCCGCTACCCGTCCCGATCGTGCAGCTGACCCAGGCGTCGGTGGCCATGGCCTGGCACATGGAAATCATAACCGTTTGGGGGCCATGGACTGGCACATGGAAAGCATAACCGCCACACCTGTAGCCATCCCTGTGGGATAGTCCGCCACTGCCCAAGACCAATGGTAGGCAAAGAAACACCGCGAGCAGCCACCGCATCACGAGGAGCCGACACCGACGGCGTCACAGAGGGGAATGCCACAGGAAACGCAACAGCAGACCAACCACCGCTACCTCCTCGAGACCACCCCCGCCGACCTCACCATGAGTGTTTTGATCGAGGACGATAACCCGCCGCGTCCGACCTTCAGCATCGCTGGCCACAAAATTGCCCACGCGCTCCATGAAGCCTTGAACGAACCCATGTACCAGCAGGTCCTATCGCGACAGCAGAACGACGGTACGACCTACCATCACCAAGGCGGCGACAGCAACGACGAC